GCCTGGAGGGTGAAGGGAATGTGGGGTAGAAAGGAGGAACCAATTACAAGAATCTAAGTATTGCCTCCCACCTGGGGGATGACAGCAGAGAAGAGGGCAGAGGGAGACATTGGACAGTGTAACTTATGACAAAACTATAATAATTTATGAATTATGAAGGGTTCGTGAGGGCGTGGGGAGTGGGGAGGGAGGGGGAAAATGAGCAACTGATATTAAGGGCTAAAGTAGAAGGCAAATGTTTTGAGAATGATGAGGGCAACAAATGTACATACGTGCTTGACACAATGGATGTATATATGGATTGTGATAAGAATTGTATGAGCCCCCAATAAAATATTTTTAAAAAAAGAAAAGAAAAGAAAAGAAAACCAAACTCGCTGCAGTGGAGTCTATGCTGACTCAGTGACCCCCCTGTGGGTTTCTGAGACTAACCTTTATGAAAGTAGAAAGTCCAACCATTCTCCCGCGCAGCTGTGGCTCATTTTGAACTGCTGGCCGTGCGGATCCAGCAAACTCCTAACCACCAGGCAGCCTCTCTGAAGTTCACTATGTGCACGTGCCAGGGTAGGTGCCTACAGACGCGGTAATGCCCCCGCCCCCTCAGGCTGTCTACAAGTGAGTGAGGCAAGAACGCAGCTCACTTGGCTGTAGCGGCTGTGTTTCCACGAGTTGTAGAGCTCCCAGATCTAGGAAGATCACAGAAGAGAGCAGGCGCATGGTATATTTAGCATTTACCTGTGATCAAACTTTCACTTTGATGGAGCTTAAAAAACAAACAGGTGCCATCACAACCAAACAAAACAACCCGAAGCAAAAGCATTTTCAGTTAGCCTCACTTTGAGCTATAGATTAGTAATCTCCTTTGTCTAAATCCATTAAACACTTTCATGACAAAGCTGCCCTTAAGGGCCATTACATTTTACTTATTTTGCTGCTGTTGTTGAGACTCTGTCCACAAAACAAACACCACTCCAAGCCCTTTTACACGGACAGGTCAGCGACATTGACCCTGTTCTTCGAGTCATGAAAACCTCAGTCTCCTCTCCAGAGTCCTTCCTCTCTCCTGAACACACACCCGCTGCCCCCTAAGCTTCCCACCTGGTGTTCTGAGTTGTCACTGTCACCTGATCCCATACACATCCTCCTGAGAGGAGCTCAATGTGCAAGGCAGATATATTTTACTAGTTAAGCTAAGCTGTTGTTCAGTTTTAAGACGACTTCAGGGGACACATTTCTGTTCAATATGTCAAGATTAGCTCAGGGAAAGAGATGCAGGAGTTCATCTGCTCTCCAGGGCTCCATAGAGCCTGGAGACCGTGAAAAATTGAAATTCTATGCTGCGTTTCCCCCCTTTAGATCAGCATTTTTCTATGGGATCTTGGCGCCAATGGTCAGCACTGGTGGCCTGGCCTCCTCCAGTTCTGCTTGTGTCATGGCAAAAGAGACAACGAGCCACAATCTACAGGGGGTCATTTTTAGTTAAGCGTTAAACAGTATCTCCAGGTAATAGCTTCAGAGGTTCAGCTTGGCTCCTTGGATTCAGAAAGTTCCAAGTCCATAAGAATTAGATATTCTGTGCTGTTTTACCCCCGTGGATCAGAATGCTTCTATATAATCTTTGGTCAAAAGGAGCAGCAATGACCAGTCCTTCTGGTCTCCTGGCAAAAGAGACAGTTGTCCTTGGAGGCAGTTAGCACACGTTCCATTTCCTGCTCCTACTCCTGAGCCTTCCTTTTGCTGTGCTGCTCCGGGTGAGTTGATACCAAATGCCTTGGAGAGCTACCTGCCAGCTTTTAAGAGCCCAGACTTTACACAGCACACTAGCCCATAACACAGAAGCGCTAAACTGGCAATTAGACCAGTTAACTGGGATGTCTCATGAGGTCATATCATTAAATCCCGCAGAGGTTTACCAAACTTATTTGGCCTGCTGCCCCCTTTCAGGAACAACAAACAAACTTCTTGTGTCATATTATTTACTTTGTATACAATATTGCTTATTTTGTACTATATTACAGCCCACAATGCAGGATAAAGTATAGGTATCTGCTTTTGCAGCTCCTTCTGGACTCCCGGGGGAGTGCTTGCACTCCTCTCTAGGGAGCGGTTTTGCCCACTTTGGTAAACACTGCTCTAAAACAATGAGCCAAGTCCTATGAGGCATACAAAAGAAACTCCAGTAGCTACTCTTTTGTTGTGGTTTTGCTTGGGTTGGTGCAAATATATTTAGCACACACCTTTTGTCAATTCAACTTTAAACAGGTGTGCCACTTACTGACTATAATTACAATAATCAGCTCTATAACCCTACCTTTTAATCACTATAGTTTCTCCATCACCATTATCTCCTTTCCTGCTCCCTCCAACTTCTGGCAATCACTGATGAACTGTGGTCTCTAAAAATTTTCTTCTTCTTCTTCTTTTTTCCCCTTTCTTAATGTAAGTGAGAGCTTATATTTGTTCTTTTGTGATTGGCTTATTTTGCTCAGCAAATATCTTCCAGCTCTATCTATACCAGCGTTTCCCAAAGTGGGCAATATCACCCCCTTGGGGGGCAATGGAGCAATCCAGCGGGGCTAAAAAGGCAGATACCTATGCTTTAATCCTGGATTATGTGCTATAGTACAAATAATTTTAATTGCCTGGTTGGGGGGGGGATTGGTGCTGAGTAATTTTTTTTATGAATAGGAAGTGGTAGGCCAAATAAGTTTACTCATCTATGATTTATACTGTAGCAGGTCCCAAGTGCACTTCTCCCACTGGCTGAGAGGTATTCCATTGTATGTGAGTACCACGATGCATTTATCCATTCATCGGTTGAGGGACCTGCCACTTATTCCATGCTTTGGCTATTGGGAGTACTGCTACAATGAGCATCAGGGTACAAGACTCTTTTGGGGTCTCTGCTTTCAAGTCTTTGGGGAATTTACCCAGAGGTAGAATTGCTGAGCCCTTGAGCCGTAGTATCGGGCTGCTAGACACAAGGTCAGCAGCAGTTCTGCATTACCAGCTGCTCCACAGGACAAAGAGGAGGCTCTCTACTGCTGTAAAGAGCGACCGTCTCAGAAACCCACCAGGGCAGTTCTACCCTGTCCTATAGAGTCACTTGAGTCAGACTCAACTTGATGGCAGTGAGTTTGGTAGTAAGAGAATTGCTGAAATAGATGGCAGTTCTGTTTGCTGCTTTCTGAGGGCCTGCCACATTGTTTGCACAATGGATGTACTGTTTTGTATTCCTACCAACAGTGGATAAAGGTTCCAATGTCCCCGCATACTTCTCAACATTTGATATCTTCTGGGGTTTTTTATTAATTAATTAAAAAGTTGTCTTAGCTAGAATTTCTAGTGGTAGTAAAATAGTATATCTCTGTATACTCTGTAGTTTTAATTTGCACTTTTCTGATCGTTAATCATCCCGAGTGTCTTTTGATGTGTTTGGTAACTGTTGCGTGCATTTACAAGTGTGTGAGTGTATTGTGAGGGAGTGTGCATGTGCGCACAAATATGTGATGGTCACTGTGAGGGTGAAAGCACATATGTATGAGACTAGGTGTGAGAGAGAGTGCAGGTGTGCACATGAGCTTGAGGTGCGTGCGTGTCTATGCGTGTGCGTGTCTATGCGTGTGCGTGTCTATGCGTGTGCATTGTCTCCCAAAGAGACACCAGGCTTTTCGGATGCAGACACGACTTACTCGCTTATATCTCCCGCTCTTAAAAGTAGGGATGAAAAAACTCAAAGCCATTTTGTCTGGTCCATTCTGACTCACAGTGGCTCCCATAGGGCAGAGGAGAACTGCCCCATAGACTTTCCAAGGCTGTCCTCTTTAGAGGAAGGCCATTGCCACATCTCTCTCCCACAGAGTTTCTGACAGGTTCAACCATCAACCTTTCTTTCAGCCAAGTGCTTGCTTGACCACAGAATCACCAGAACTCCTTTGAAAAGGAGATGCAGCCTAATTAGTAGGTGATAAAAATTGGTAACAAAAATTGGTGACTGAAACAAATTGAGATCACATTGCCTACACATACCATAATGGGAGGGAGCACCCTGTTTTATGAGAGTATGGATTACCTCCTTCTTGCTTAGATTTTATCCTGGAGCCTATCATAAGGCCTGATGCACAGTGGTTCTAGAATGTTCATCCAGCAGCGATATGCATTCAGTGCAGGCATCCCACCATCCTCGGTTCCAAGTGCTTCTGTAAGCATTCACAACACTTTGGGACATCAAGGCAGGAATGTGCAGCTAGTAAGGGGCAGAGTCAAGAATCAACATACACCGTCTAACTCTTCCTCTTAACCTCTGTGAATGAAGTTTGCAAAGGGTCATTCTAGAGCCTGACCACAGAATTCAAGATTCTGAAGAGGCCCTAGGGTGCAGTTTCCACTTTTAAGATTCACGACCTTGCTAGTCCATTCATAGACGTCCTTGAGTGCTCGGCTACTAACCGAACGTGTGGTGGTTCGAATCCAACTCAGAAGACTCACCTGGTGATCTGTCTCCAAGAGATCACAGCCTTAAAAGCTCCATGGAGTGCAGCTCTCTTCTGAGAGACGGGGTTACACCAGTGGGAATCTGCTCAACAGCCGATGGTTGCAGCTCCATTTCTGAGCCATTTCCCTCAGTCTCCCCTCCCAGGCCTTCCCTCACATATTGGTTGAGAAGTTGCCAGTAGATATCCCAAGTCCTTCCTTGCTTCCTTATGCGTCCTCGGCTTCTCCACAGGTTCGCCAAGCTGTTGCTTCGCCTCCCAGCCCTGCGCTCCATCGGCCTGAAATGCCTGGAGCACCTCTTCTTCTTCAAGCTCATAGGAGACACGCCCATTGACACCTTCCTCATGGAGATGTTGGAAACCCCGCTGCAGATTACCTGAGCAGCACCAGCCACAGCCTCCCCACCCAGCATTGCCCCTGGGCAGGCGTGTATGGAGACCCCACCCTGCACACTTCCCGTGTACTCTGCCCTCCAGCTCCCACTCTGACCCCCTTCCGGTTCCCAAAATGTGATGCTTATAATAAAGGAAACCTTTGTATACTTGAGACTTTTATAGACGGAGTTTTGTATAGATGTGAATTGCAACCCTTCTTTGCTATATAAGGAACTTGGGACATAGGGAGGTTCTTTCTGGAAGTTCTTGGGAAACTAACCCACGTCTGTACATATAATTGGTTTAAATTATTTTTTCACTTGCTATGGAAAGTAAACAAAGAAATAATAAAGTGATACGTATGATACTGGCATTTTTTGGAGTATAGGGTGTGTTATTGTGCTGCAAGGAGGTGATCTCAGATGCCGGAGGTGGAGAATAGAGCTGAAATCCAGAGGCCCTCAGGCCCACTGGCTGTGGCTGCATCTGCACTGAACTGCTCAGACAGCCAGCTCTGCCCAGAGCAGCAACCCCAGAGGCTGGGGACCTATGCTGTTCTTGCTGGTCAGTTTGGTGTTTTGTTTTCTTATCCTTTTAAGAACAAGAATCAAAGGGAGCCTTATACTGATTGGGGGCAACTGAGTATAAGATCAACAGAAGATCTTCCCTTTGGGGGAGGTTCAAGTGAGAGGCCTTTCATGAGGATTTTAGAATGAAAAAGATCCACAAGCAGGATTGATGAAAGTCCAATGTTCAGAAAGCTTGTCTCAAAGCGGCCAGACCAAAAGTCAACCCTCTCATTGACCTACCCCTCTTTACTTTTAGTAGAATTTTATTTTGAATATAGAGTGAAGGAGAAACAAAACCAAGCCCTAACAGTTTGCAACAAATCAAACACCTGCTCCACGCAGATAAGACCTTAAAGTTTTTATCACAACTGGAATAATCCAGAGCGAAAGCAGAAAGATGCCAATTTTCGATGAAGTCACCCAACAGTCACCCAACACAAACAATAGTCAGCTGGTGACACACCAGCAAACACACTCAGAAATGTGCTCCCCAAAGCACGGGCCTTCGTTGTATGGCCCCTTGATGACTTGTACATTTCATTTCCCAGAGAGTTTAATGTTTAAAATATGTGTGCTCTCCTGCGTGTAGTGATGCTTTGATACCAATGGCGGGTTACTTCTCCTAAACATTCCCCATGGCTCCTTGAGATGCTTGCATTCTGCTCCTCGATATAGAAAGACTAACACTACCTATGGTGCATCATACGACTGGATCCCATCTCTGACCCCTGAACCACCCCGTTTCATCCATCAGAAGGAGTTACAAAACCAAAACCAAAACACACACAGCGATTTCAAGAGCATGCTCAGTAGCTACTGGCTTCAAAGTTTGTGGAACTGGGGGGTAGGGTGAGGTGGGGGACTAACCCATTCGAAACCATTGTACATACTGCCTTTGGGCAGAACAGCGAACACCTGAGTTAAAAAAACAGGAAGAGGACTCTGTTGTCTTTCCAAAATGTAAACCCTTCTTTGTTGCCCTTCTCTGAGAACCTCAGTCACACTCCTGAGGGGAGACGGGCGGAGGCTCGGCCCCGTGCCTCTGCTTTCCCATTGCTGCAGCAGGACTGCCCCGAAACAGCCTTTCTACAGAACCCCACACCCTGTTTTCTGACTGCTCCAGTCCGGAGGTCGGAGAAGGAGGGGACTGGGGTTCTGGGAGTGCCAGAAGCTGTCTCTTTAACTGAGCCATCGTCTGACTGGTGACTGCAGCGAGGACACTGGGCTTGGAGGCCCTTGAGGTAGGACTGAGGGCATCAGGATTATGGTGTTTAAATTCCGTCTGCCGTTCACTACCAGCCTGGTGGCTTTTTATCCAGTTTCCACGTAGAGTTTTCACTTTCCTTCGTCTCAAGGTAGTCTTTAGCTTATAGCCCTTATAGCTACCACATGGTTTCCTTTTCCTTTCTTGCTTTAAAGCCTGCTGGCAACTTCCATCTTTTCACGAGCAGGACATAGGCCTTGCACAAGTCTCCTGAACTCACTGCGTGCAGCCCCAAATGGCTCAAAGTCTTTTATGCAGCAGTGACTCTGGAGGTCTCCGCTCTGCAAAGACAGCAGCCTTCTTTACTTTGGTAGATCTTTGGCTTGTGAAAACCAAGCATCTTTTCCCTTGGGCAGCAGTCTTCCAAAAGCCTTCCTGAGGTGTGGTAGGCACACTAGCCAAGCCCCCACCCCAAGAAGATGGCTTCTTGATACGAGAACATTTATGGGTCCTGGACGTCAAGGGAAGGTGGTAATATATAAATGACTTTTTGATTAACCGTGAATAAGTCCCCCATGGGTGTTGCCAATGGGTTGGCACTTGGCAGCTAACCCAGAGGGTGTCGGTTCGAGCCCACCCAAAGGTCCCCCAGGAGAAAAGCCCCATGAGATCTCAAGCTTTACCTAGAGCTCTGGGAACGGTCGCTCTCCGCTGCCATCAGCAGAAACAGAATTTAACCGATAAATCTAAGCTGACTGTGTGTGCGCAGTTTCTCCTAGGGTGATAGAGTGTAAAACCTGAATGTCTGTACAGGGGAGTCCTGCTTCCCCCTCCTCATCCCACCAGAACCTGACCCGATGCCTGGCACACAGTAATGTGTGCTGTGGAATTGGGTCTCCAAACGGGAAAGAATTCTCTAAAGCCAAATTTGGATGATTAGTGCCTCTTTCCCCATGAACGTGTCCTTCCCATAGGTAACCCTCCAGTCCAAATAAATCCACCAGTGTTCAGATGGTTTAGAAGCCAAAATCATTTTAAAAACAAAGTCAGCTCCATGGCCTTGGAGTGATAGTGAACCTGCCCCCACAGGGCTTCAAAGGTTGTACATTTATGGTCCATCAGCCCAGAGGCTGCAACCAAGAGCAATGATTGTTGTGAGGATGGCGGAAGGCCCCACAACACATCATGTTGTCGCATATGGGGGTCGCTCTGAGCCGGAGCCAGGTAGATGGCCCTTAGCCACAGCCATCTTTACAGAAGCAGACTGCCGCATCTTGGTCCCTGGAGAGTGGCTGAGGAGTTGAACCCCCAAACTTTCAAGGCTCCCAGTAAAACCAATGGGAAACACAGCAACGGATCTCTTAGCTGTGAGTATTAAACAATGGAATTAAAGCCTTCATTGTGAAAGAGGATTTTGTTTTCTGATTTTAATGGACATTATTTTGAATTGTCAGGACGATGGTGTGGGGGGAAATGAAGTGCTAACTGTAGGGTCCCTGTCGCTCCTCCCTTCTCTGGCAAAGCCCCCGGGGTCATGTGGATAGGAGTTTCAGGAAAGCCTCTAGCTCCCAAGCTGGTGGTCACCTCACCTCCCATCCCAGGCTTTGATTCTTCCCACACTAAACCCTGGCTCTTGCCTGGGGCAAAACTTGGGCCAATGAAGGCCCAGCAGGCCATCTTCACTGGGTGCAGCCCATCCTTGCTTTACAGAACTTCATTGGTCTGCAAAGAAGCCCAGCAGGAGCCCTGCACCGGCTGCTCCCAAAGGCCACCTTCTTCCTGACCCCACACCCCCTTCTTCTTCACGCCTCAGGCAATTGAGTGGCCGGTCCACCCCGAGACAGAACCCAGCCTTCTAAGAGCCAGCCTCCTCCAGGCCGCAGTCAGTACGCGTTCAAGGCCCACATCTCTGAGAAGAGACCCGTTCTCACAGCTCTGTGGAGAGGACAGATTATCCGTCAAGGCCGACTGCTATTTTCTCAGCCTCACACCCCCTTCCGCCTGCCTGGTTTACCGCAGGGAACAGAGGCTTCTGCCTTGGTCCCATCTCTCCTCTGTGAAAACCGAACAGACTCGGCACACAGCAGAGCCTCCCGTAGCATTATTTGGGAGAAAGTGACTTCACTTCTCTGACGGACTCTCAGTTCCTTCTCTTGTCTGCCAAAAAGAATATCATAGGCCTCATGGAGCCCTTCTAAGGCTAAAACAGACGGTGTGGCCCAGGGCTGTGCTGTGTTTGAATCATGGCTCTATCATTGACAATGGACTTCTGTAAAATGGGATGAGAATACTATTCACCCCACAGGATTCTTCTAAGGCTGACACGAGGAGGCTTGAAAATATTCATGGAAAATGGAATTAGAAGATAAACCTATTCACTTTATTTCTCAACCTAAGCTGCATCAAGGTCTTGAGGAGTCTGCCTTTGCTTTGACAGGCCCACTTCCACCTCTTGGCAGCCATTTCTTTGATTGTGCTTTGTCTTCGGGAGTCTCCTGGTCAAGCCATGTTTCACCTCCTGTTAGAATTCTTCCATGAAATACTTGATGATCTGGATCGCGCTTGCTTAAAATTCCCATTGTGGCTCTGTCCTTGTGTGAAGCTGACCTCGGTGCAGCAGTCCCAGGCTCCTATTGAGCAGAACTTTTGTTCTACTTTAATTTTTCAGTCAGGACTGTGTAAGCGGAACCAACTGAGATGTCTATAAATTGGCTGTTGTTTCAGCTGCTAATGGTTGATCTTCTTCGAGGAGGGCAATGTTTCACAAAGTGGGTGCTACCATCCCTCCCCTGGACGGAGATGGAACAATGGGGCGGGGGGTGGGGTGGGGTGGGGGTGGGCTGCAATAGCAGCTGCTTTCCCCTTCATCTGGGTTATGGGCTACAGTCCAAAAGCTTTCATAGCCCAGGGCACTGAGCAATCTTTTCTTTTTTTCAGAAAATGGGGAAGTAGGTCAATTAAGTTTGGGAACCTATGACTTAAGGTAAGAACACGATTAACTCTTTCCTTGCAAATTGATGTGGGGGACCCGCTGCTGCGAGCTTCGTCTTTGACATCATCTCTTCCCTTATTAAAACCAAGTATCCATTTGTAAACTATGAGTTTCTTTGGGGCTGGCCTTCTATCCATACATTTTTTATAAAGTACCGATGATCTCACCACTTTTCCACCCAAACTTCACCACACATCTTGAATTTTAGCAGAATCCATGATGCGTTGATAGGGGTTCATTGTAAAAGGGTGTTTTAGGTGTCTTAGTGGTTCACACTAGATCCCAATCAGACCCATTATCACAAACCCAAAAGGACAAACTCACTGTCCTTGAGTTGCTGCTGATTCATAGCAAGCTGTAGGATAGGCTAGAACTGCCCCTGTGGGTTTCTAAGACTATAACTCTTT